TGCCTGGTCAGAAATCCCACAAGAGGGTGACCTAATGAGATTACCTAATTCTCTGGACAGAGCACTCATTGAGCATCAGAAACATGTCTGGAAGTTTACCTGGGATGTATGGGTTCTGTGATAATGCTTTATCATCCTAATAAGATAATTAATTGCTTCTTTCTTTGGCCAAGAGTGCGACAGTAAAACAGTGATGTCATCAGCGGTCACACACTCACTAGGCAGCAAGAGAGAGTGGAAGTGTCTGGGTACTGGATACTGTGCTGACACAGAATGTGCAGTCTTGTCTGTATGTCCCCTACTTCACAGAGCCGCACTGCCCCAGATCCATGTCAACACACTGTACTCCCCACCTACACCCAGCCACACACACACACACACACACATACACACACAAAAGCTGCATACCCAACCAACACTCCACCTTACCTTACCTACCCTCACCCTTAACCTCACCAAAACCCTAACTTCCTTCCTCACCTTAACCTAACCCTTTACCCCAGCCTACGCTTAGCTCAATACCTACTAACAGCTCCTTGAATGCTTTACAGGTTCTTATAGACCTGGCCTAACACCCTAGGAACTCTAGAGGAAGGGACAGACAGACAGACTGACAGACTCTTCATGTTCTCTATCTATGATATGAGTAAGAAGCATGTATTAGAGCCATACTGAGTCTGAGTGGCAACATGTGGGTCTGTGCGTGTGTATGAGGACAGATGAATAGGAGAGAGAGTGAGGGGGGTCCTGATAGCGGGGCTGCCCGCTGTGCTGCCTGACTCAATGTCCCTGAAGGCTCCTCTCATTAACACCCCAGAATTAATTTAAGGCTGAGAGAGAAACATCAAAACAACAACATCTCACCACACACACACACACACACCACACAAATGGTGCCTTTCTGGGTCATTAAGACCAAGTGTAGCAGAATAAACTTTCTTCAAGTTAATATGAGCATCACAACATGGCACCTCCCCTATGTCTCTCCCTCTCTCTGTCTTTCTATAAACAAGTGTGTGTGTGTGTGTGTGTGTGTGTGTGTGTGTGTGTGTGTGTGTGACCCTCCAGAGGCTACCTAACGGTTCCGTAGATGCCCATGATGATGGTAGCCGGTCAGTGGAGCTCCAGGAGCTTCTTGATCGGACCAATCAGGAGCTGGTTCAGAGCCGCGAGCGTTCGGGAACACTCAGTACACGCGTGGCAGAGCTGGAGGCGGAGCTAGCCAACACTCGCCGAGACCTGAGTCGCAGCGAAGAGCTGTCAATCAAACAACAGAGGGAACAGAGAGAGGTGAGCGTAAAAGAGGAGAGAGGAGAGGAGGAGGGAGAGGAGGAGGAATTTAAGAAGTCCCGTTCATAAACATAAACACTGTTTATTCTATAGATCTCTCCAGTGTCCAGACTGATAATGTATGTTATGTTTCCAAGTATAAACACACACACACACAGTATATTTTTTTCTCTTACTATATGCCTGTTGTAGGGGCTGGCACAGAGGGAGGATATGGAGGAGCGGATTACAACGTTAGAAAAACGTTACCTGGCCGCTCAGAGGGAAACCACCCACATCCATGACCTGAACGACAAACTGGAGAACGAACTGGCTACCAAGGACTCTCTGCACCGACAGGTAACACACACACACACACACACACACACACACACACACAAACATGCTGAATTAGTCACTAACGACAGTGCATGGGCAGGTATAACCCATACGAACACACACAAACACACACACACACACATATACACACTCACTCACATACACACCCCTTGGGAGTTACGTGGGGGTCAATACTGTTTCACAGAAAGAGGGGATGGGGTGAGGTAAGGAACACACACACGAGGGGGTGAATGAGGGTTCATCAACAGTTCAGTTGAAGGTGAAGTTGAGTTCAGCTCCACTGGACCAGAGAACGTGAGGGTGACACATAGTATCCATTAGTACCTCGGAGACATCGTCAGGGACAGGCCTGGTAAGGTTCCATCTATCACACACACACACTCACACAGACAGACACACCAGTTAATATCAGCGGCTTCCCAGCTAATGAGTCATAGACTGTTCTCTCTGCTACCGCACGGCAAGCGGTACCGGAGTGCCAAGTCTAGGTCCAAAAGACTTCTCAACAGCTTCTACCCCCAAGCCATAAGACTCCTGAACAGCTAATCATGGCTACCCCGGACTATTTGCACTGCCCCCCCACCCCATCCTTTTTACGCTGCTGCTACTCTGTTAAGTATTTATGCATAGTCACTTTAACTCTACCCACATGTACATATTACCTCAACTACCTCAACTAGCCGGTGCCCCCGCACATTGACTCTGCAACGGTACCCCCCTGTATATATAGCCTCCCTACTGTCACTTTATTTTACTGTATATATAGCCTCCCTACTGTCACTTTATTTTACTTCTGCTCTTTTTTTCTCAACACTTTTTTTGTTGTTGTTTTATTCTTACTTTTTTTGTTTAAAATAAATGCACTGTTGGTTAAGGGCTGTAAGTAAGCATTTCACTGCAATGTCTGCACCTGTTGTATTCGGCGCATGTGACCAATAAAATTTGATTTGATTTGATTTGATTTAACAATTCTAGGGAGAGAGAAAGTTTTTGTAATGTTACCCGTAATGTTCCCCTAATGTTTGAGTGTTCAGTTTTCCATTAGTTAGTGGAACATTCTATCTATGTTAGCAAAAACCTTTTTAGAATGTTTTGGTGTTAAAGTTAGGAGAATGTCAAAACAGAACATTCACATAACGTAGTTACCATGTTCTCAGAATATACAATATTAATGTTCTAGTCACGTTTCATGAGAATGTTGCAAGAACATTCATGTGTCCAGTTTTCTGAGGGTTAGGAGAATATTCCATCAATGTCCCACCAAACATGGTTGCCATTGTTCTCAGAACTTATAGTTTGCCGTTAAATTTCAAGTCTTTACAACGTTTTCCAAACCCTTACATTAAATAATTATATAATTT